CGCGACTTCGCTGCCCAGTGGGTAGCGCAGGAGGGGCACACAATTCCCAGGCGGAGACGTCCTGTCCTCCCTCTGTGTTTTCTGCAGGAAAAGTGAGGGCAAAGAGCAAGATAGTTGCCGGGTGGTGGTGGCGCACGCCTGTAATCCCAGCACATGGGAGGCAAAGGCAGGCGGATCTCAGTGAGTTCGAGGCCAGCCTGGTGTATACAGAGTGAGTGCCAGGACTGTTACACAGAGAAACCCTGTCTCGAAGGAAATAAAAAAGAACAAGGTATTTGCCACAACCCAAGTACTCTGTGTCCCCACCTTTGTCCCTTTGCCAAGAGCTGGGTTCCATTTGCAGTAGGAGAGTGGGGGTTACCTTCAGTCCAGCCACGTGATGTATCCTTATAACCCCAGCACGCAGGAGGCTGAGACAGGAGGATCACGGTGAATTCCCGGACGACCTGAGCTAAAACGTGATACCCTGTCTCAACACTTCAAAACAAACTGGAGAGAGGGGAAGAGGAAAATCTTTGCAGCGTGTTGGAACCAACACTAGAGCTCTGCAGAGTTTAAGGAATAAAGGGAAGTTGGCAGAGTTCAGACTGGGATGAGATAGAGGTGGAATGTTAGGCTCAACATCTAACTGCCTGGTTCAACAGATCACAGCAGGCAAGGCTTCAGCCTTTTCTCATCTCTAAATGCACAAATACTTAGCCCTGCCTCTCCAGGATGCCAGGGGAATGCAATGGGCCACCTGTCAAGACCTCGAATTGACTTCTTGATGGCAATTACCATGAGCTACCCCACCTTTATGCTTTCGAACTCAGCATCTTTGACTGCTTACTTACTTATTCATTTATGGGGCGAGTGGTAAGACAGGGTCCCATGTATCTCAGGCTCAGCTCAACCTAGCAGTAGAGGCAGGGATGACCTTGAATTTTTGATCCTTCTGCTTCTCTGCCTTTCAAGTGCTGGCATTTCAAGCCTGCATCACCATGCCTAATAGAACACAGTGGGGTTGCTTTTTTGTTTTATTTTTGTTTGTTTGTTGCTTATTTGTGGGGTGTTTTTGGTTTTTGTTTTTTGGTTTGTTTTTCAAGACAGGATTTCTCTGTGTGTAGCCCTGGAACTAGCTTTGTAGACCAGGCTTGCCTCGAACTCACATATTTCTGTCTGCCTCTGTCTCCCCAGCACTGGCCTTAAAAGTGTGAGCCACCAAATCCCAGTTTAGAACACAGTGTTTTAAACTCTAGGTTGCGGTTCATTTAGGCTTGAATAACTGAAGGTAGAGGGCCAGGAAAATTAGGCAATCACAATAGGTTTCTAAGTGTGCAATAACCTAAAATTAATTCAACCAGCATACCTGGCAGTTTGTGATGTGTTACATCCACGATGTCATTGTAGCCTTGGTTCTGAGCACGAGGCATGAATACTTTAGCACAGCTCATGCCAAATAGATAAAGCACCAACAAATGCTATCTAAAACCCCTCAGTTCAGTATTTTTTTTTTACTGTAGACACAAAGGTTTTTGTTCTTACAGCAACCTGACAGTTTCATTATGAAAAACAAAGGCTCTTGGTATTTTCCTATCTTTCTTCAGCATGTTTCAAAGTAGTATTATCTTTGGATTGTGGTAGAATGCTTGGTTTTTAGAAATTGTTGTTTGAATGACTGACTTAAGCTGCATAAAACAGTCACTAAATGAATTTTAGCTTGGGATTAGGACAGAATGTCCAATCATTGCTGAAAACACTTCTGCCATTTTGTAGTAAGTCTTTATATAAGTAGCTTTGTAGCATTAATTATTAGCAAAAATATCCATCACCTCAGAAGCTAGAAGATCAGGAGTTCAAAAACAGCCTCAGCTACATAGTATTTCAGAGCCAGCCTGGGCTCCATGAGACCCTGTCCCAAAAATAAAAAATAAAATAAAGAAAAAAGAGGCTAAATTTTTTTGCTTCCCCTGGGGCCTCATCGATTTCCCTGTATATATATTTTGATGGCCTCACTTCTTTTCTTTTCTCATCTAAATTGCATGTCTTTGCCAATAATTCATTCCAGACAAAAGAGAATTCTGTGCCTGATATTGAAGGCAAAAGGACAGCAATAGAAGAAAAGAATCTCCAAAGCAGCTGGGTCCTTTTGTTTGTACAGGCCTAATCACCTCCAGCCGCTTGTTTTATACATACTCTATCACATGTCAGTCATCTCTTCTGGAGATTCTCTCCGGAACCAAGAACCACTGATCTCTGTGATGTACCTCTGTTGCTAAGTTCTACTCCCCCTGTGAACCTGGGACAGAGGAGCTCAAAAGAGGAAGCGGTGTCGCAGTGGAGGGAAGGAGGGGAGAAAGCAGATACCCAAGATGCTAAGGCTTGTTGTGGAGTCGGCCAAGATTAACCCACCTCTCAGTCCCCCACCCAAACTCTGTGTAACTGTCTACTTCAGAGGTGAGAACCAGGGCCCAAAAGGTTACCAGGAGTCCTGCTAGGTATCACACATTCAGGGAAAACTCAGTTATTCATATCCTACTACATGAAAGATGTCCCATATGACACAAGAAGAAGGTAGACTCTGATTGCTTCACAACCTGTTTGTTGTTAAGCCCCTAGCATATCAGGTCCTGGGTTTGATTCCCCAACACAGTTAAAAACCTAGCCAGGTTTTTTTTTTTTAATGCATACAACTATTTGTGTGTTTATGGTTTGTGAGGTCTCACTGTGTAGCTCTGGCTAGCTTAAGTTACAACTTGCTTTATAGCCAGGTGATATAGCACATGCCTTTAATCCCAGCACTCGGGTGACAGAGGCAGGAGGATCTCTGTGATTTCGAGGCTAGCCTGGTCTGCAAAGTGAGTTCCAGGACAGCCAGGACTACACAGAGAAACCCTGTCTTGAAAAACAAAAACAAAATAAATAAATAAATAACTTGCTTTATAGCCCAGGCTAGCCACAAACTCTTGAGTGCTGTGTCCTGAGTCCTGGGGTTATAGGTATGCACCAGCTGTGTGTGACTGTTTAGTCTGCATGTAAGCACGTTTATCTTGTGTATACCTGGTGCCTATGGAAGTCAAAAGAGGCTGTTAGAGCCCCTGGCACTGGGATTACAAATGGTTGTAAGCCACCATGTGAGTGCTGGGAACTGAACCCAGGTCCTCTGTGAAGGGGCCTTGGAGTCAGCACAGAACACACCCAGGCACCATATTCATAGCACAAAGGAGATATATTGCCCCGGAGGGGCAAGGGAGGGGGAGGGGTCCCTCTGGATCAGACAAAGACAGCAGCAGGTGTTTCTGCAGGAGTGGATTTTAGGAGAAAAAGGAAAAGTCTGTGTGTGCTAGGATGAGTTGGTAAGTCTTGATTGGACAGATTAACCACTGTAGTCAAATAATGAAATTTGATTGCTGGACTTTGGTGTTTTGATAGTTGGACCTTGAAGTTTTTGTCAAACATAAGGAAGGAATGCAATCTGATAGTTTAACAAGGGAGAGGAAAGGGAGGAGGGCAAGACGTGACAGAGACATTTGTAGGAAACGAGAGAAAAAAAAAGGAGTGTGTGTGTGTGTGGGGGAGAGAGAGAGAGAGAGAGAGAGAGAGAGAGAGAGAGAGAGAGAGAGAGCGAGCTTCATAGACTTAGGATGAGAAGTTTAAAAGACAGTATATGGCTAATCTTTAGTATGACTTTTGCTAAGAGCTGCTCAATATTGTCATTTACACTTGAATGAGCCTTACAGTTGACAATGCCTTTTCTTTTTTTGTTCTTGGTTTTTCGAGACAAGGTTTCTCTGTGTAGCTTTTGAAGCCTATCCTGGCACTTGCTCTGGAGACCAGGCTGGCCTCAAACTCACAGAGATCCGCCTGCCTCTGCCTCCCGAGTGCTGGGATTAAAGGTGTGCACCACCAACACCCGGCAACAATGCCTTTTCATAAACATCATATTTGTTCGTCATAGCAGTTCCATGAGGCAAAAGAGACCAGATTTATTATCTCTACATTTTAATAATGGAAGGAACATATATCTAAGAAGGGAGAGAGAGAGAAAAGGGTGAAAGAATCTATGAGACAGATTAAGTATATTTAGGAATCACAGAGCTGGGAGCCAAAAGGAAGTATAGCCTGGACTTGGGCTAGCAATATAGCTCTTCCTAGCACGTGGGAGGCCCTGGGTTTTAGTTCCACTGCCACCAAAAGAGGGAAATAAATAAAAGAAAATGTGATAGTCCTTTTTTTTGGTTGAGTGTATGGAAGCTAGTATAGGCCAACAAGGTTTCAGAAACGTGTAGGACGTGAGAAAATCAGGTCCAAAAGAAAAGAAGACACAATGCTGTTGGTGCTCCATATCTGTGGGCCCTGAGTCAACATGAGTCAAAAATATTTAAGGGCAGGCAAGATGGCTCAGTTGGTAAAGGCAAATATCATTCCTATACTCCATTGGTTAAAATGAGTCTCAGCCCCACATGGCTTTGAGGCTCTGGGTACTATGTACTGGGACAAAGTGAAATGAAAATAGGGTTATCCATCACACATGGTGATAAGTTTGGAATACCTGAAAAAGAAGCTAAAGATGCCATAGGACTGAACCAGGCTCCCCGAATGTGGGTGTCAGCTAGGAGGCCTGGGCAGTCTTTGGAGACTCTGGCAGTGGAACCAGTATTTATCCCTTGTGCACAAATGGACTTTGGGGGCCCATTTCCCATGGTGGGATACTTTCTTAGCCTAGATACATGGGGAAAGGCCTAGGCCCTGCCCCAAATAACTTGACAGACTTTTATGATCCCTCATGGAAGGCCTCACTCTCCCGGGGGAGTGGATGGGGAATGGTTTGTGGTTGGGTCCCTGGGAGGCATGGGAAGTTGGGAGGGAGAGGGAACTAGGATTGATATGTAAAATAAGATTGTTTCTAATTTAAATAAAATTTATAAAAATAAAAAAAAGAAACTATAGCCAGGATAGGCTCCAAAGCTACACAGAACAGAGAAACCCTGTCTCGAAAAACCAAAAAAAAAAAAAAAAGAAAAAAGAAAAAAAGAAAAGAAAAGAAAAGAAAAGAAAAGAAACTATAGATGCTGCATCACTACTGCCAATATAGATTTGACTTCTCTTGGTACCCTACCTCTCTTTATCTCACTCAAACGGAGACACTGAACTACTTCCCCCCTTGGTATCTTTGCAGATGTGAAGAAAAAAACCCGCATACAGGAAGGAAATGACCCCATATGGAATGAGGTAGACACACCATGGCACTCCTGAAAGAGGACTGAACTACTCCAAGAGCAAAGGGCAGGGTTGGGCACTAAGCAGGTGCCAGAGATCTAGGGAACTGCCAGGGAGTCTCTCCTGGGTTTCACAGGCATCTTAGCCTAGGTTAGCCTCTGATCTGATAGGGCTGCAAAAGTCTCATCTGTCCTCAGCTACTCTTGATTTCTCTTTCTTACCTTTAGGGACAAACCACATCAAGCTCCATCCACTAATCGATCCACACCATTGTGCGAGACCTAGAATCCTAAAGCAGAGACAAGGCTCCTTGTGCAGAATTCTTTTTTTTTTTTTTTAATTCACTCATATTGTCCCATCCCACAGTCACTACTAACATGCACAGGAAGCTATGCACAGGAACACACACATGTAGGATCTCCTACGTGTGAGACCAGGTAGTAAATACAATCTCCTTAGGGAAGTAGACATGACAGAAAACTACTGAGTTCCAGCCAATTCCCTGGATTTGCCCTCGCTTCCTAGAAGGGTACATGGGAAGGAAGAAGGAGGCAAGATGTTGCCCAGCACGATGTCACATGCTTATAATCCCAGACTGAGGCTGGAAGATCACTGAGCTCCAGGCCAACCTAGCCTAACTAGTGAGTTCCAGACCAGCCAGGGTTACACAAGAAGACCCTGTCTCAAAACACCAACTTTCAAAATAAAAGAATGATTTCTCCCTGTCCCTCACAGACCCTAATCTGGTACCTCTGGAATCAACCACTGGAAATTGACTCCTTCCTGCAAGTCACCCTTCAGGATGAGGGCTCTAGAAAGAAAGAAAGGTGAGGCAGAAACAGACAGGAGGAGTTTGGTTGACCAAAGCAACAATGAGCCAGACATCTCGAATCTAACCCATAACTAACTAAGATAAAGGACCAGACCCCACACCACACAGTAAAGAAAAATGGAGGGTGGTACTAAAGGAGTACCAAGACCCAGAGATGAAATTGGCTAGAATACAAACTTGGGTACCAGTAGAAGCTCTGTCGTAAACCACAGATCCTGAATGTCTGCCGAATTCCAGCCTCTTCTGGTCAAAGTCTGCCTAATTCTAGTGCCCAACCCAGACTAACATTCCATTAAGAGTGAAGCCATGACACGGGCCTTTTTCAGAACATAGAATCTGATTGGTCCATCTTGGTGCCCGTCTTTGATCCAATGAGCTACTAATTTTGGGGGGATTCCCCAAGCAACTTCCCACAGAGTGTAGAGTCCCCCACCCCCATCACCGACACCCTCACAGTCCTCAGGTGACCACTGTGCTTACCTGGATTCTTCATACTCTGGAAGAAAGTCATCCCTAGGGCACAGCCTGGGACACAGGAGGAGCCCTCTACCCTGGCTGGGAATCTGATATCTACTCCTTGCCTCCCCCAGGTTCATTGGCACGGCCACTGTACTACTCAAGAAGCTGGTGCAAAAACCAGATGAAGTCTTAGATATGAAGAACCTGGTCCTGCTCAACCACAGCATGAAGCCCACTGATGTGAGTCAGGCATCAGACGGCCCAGGCAGGGCAGCTGGAGGAATATGGGCTGCTGGTGTGACTGAATGAATGTCTTGCTCTAGGAGCAGCCAAGTGCTCCACCACAAAGGAGTCCTTTGTGCCAGTGGGGGAGGGGGGCAGGCATCGCACTACTGTTATGTTCTGGGTCCCCATCCTTCCATCCATCTCCTATTTACCCTTGCATCTTCCCTGGAGTCAGTCACTGTGCTAGGCACTGGGATCAAGACTGAATCTCGGCAGAGGGGAAAGGAATGGGAAAGTTTGGCATAGAGAAAAGGGAAGGTGTAGGAATGCCCCAATTAGAGGCTACTGCTCTGGGGAAACCAAAGAAAGGCTCACCCAAGTGATTGGTCAGAAACTCACGTTTGGCTTTTCCTAGTTGGTCCTATGAGATTGAAGCCTGAAAACCTAAATTCATTCCCCGGGACCCACATGATAGGAAGATGCTGACTCCCACAGGTTGTCCTCTGCCCTCCCTCCACGCACCTGCACCTTGGCACAAACATGACGCCCCCCTCCTGTCCTGTCCCTTCCCTACCTCCATCCCCCTCCCCAGCCACCTTACACCTTACACAAAATAAGTAAAATTTAGGTCATCTTTCAACTTTTATTTATCAAATCCCAGCCATTTGGGGCTGATGGCTATTGCTTGGCTTCTTGGCTTCTTGTTAGAGATAGCAGACTGACTTCCTCCAAGCCTGACATAAGGCAGGCTGGTCTCCTGGGCTGCTTTCTGTAGAAAATGGATTGGTCTTCTGGACTGGTGGCTACAGTGAAAACTGTTATACGTGGTGTGGTTGTCATCCATGTATATATTCAGTCTCTTGGGAGGACATGAGTTTGTTCACTGGCCTGGAGAGGCAGGTCCCCCAGCAGAAGTATCAGGAACGTGGGGAGGAGGCCGGTTCAGGAAGAGCACACTGCCTGTGCTACTGGAACAGGGTAGAGGTGAAGACAAAGGCTAAAGATGAAGGGGCTTGTGGTGTGTGCTGCTAAGACCAGATTCTAATCATTTAGACTGGTAGTGGGTGTCCAACGGACAATCCCGAGGAATGGTCTGAAGATGGTGGGTGGGTGAGGAGTATCTGGAGGAAGGAGATCAGCTAGGAGGCACTGGCAGTTTTCCTAGATCAGGAGACATTAAAATTTCGGTGGGCAGGGGGAGGATGATGATGACACCCTAGTTAGCACCATGGTCCAGGACAGGTCCTGAGTCACACTTCCCTCTTCTCAGAAACCTCTTGGGTATTCTGCCATTGATATCATTACAGTTCAATTATCTTCCAAATCCCCTCCATCTTAACTCACTGCTAGCTCCTCATCAGTCTGTGCCGGCGTGTGTGTGTGTGTGTGTGTGTGTGTGTGTGTGTGTGTGCGCGCGCGCACACGCGCCCGCGCATGCATGCATGCACATGCACACATGTGTTGCACAGATGCCTGCAGCATAGCCCTGTCTCATGGCTAGCCTTGTGTCCCCAGGAGGAGAGGCAAGAACCCAGACAGACTAGGAAGACTATTGCTATAAATTATAAAGATTTCAAGATTTGCCTTCCAACTCCCTGCCTTTGCTTTGCAGTGTACTGTGAACCTACAGCTGGCCCAAATGCATGACCAGCACACTGAGATGATGGGTATGCGTTTCCCTAGGGTGAGACCAAGTGTATGTGTTCTTTGGGACCTTTGAGACCCAACTCTTAAGGACTACCAAAAGACTGTGCCCAGATAAGATTCCACAGAAATTATATGGACCTTACACTGGCTTGTTCTCCCTGGTTTGTTCAGGTTGTTTTCTCATACAACCCAGAACCACCGTCCAGGGTGATACCACCCACAGTGGACTGGGCCCTCCCACAGCAATCATTAATCAGAAAAATTTCCCCATAGACTTGCTTACAGACGATCTGATGTGGGGCATTCCCTCAATTAAGGTTTTCTCTTCCCGGACGACTCTAGGTTTATGTTAAGTTGACAAAAACTAGCCAGCACAGCCACCCATCTCCTCATCTCCATTTCTCATCTCTGGACATAAGGCTTATTTCAATGGAGGGGTCAGAAGGACATAGGATGGCCCCCATGTATGAAGAGGGAGTTCCAGGGATCCATTACTGTTGAGGATGAGAGGGGCCCATGAGCATGTCCAGGGGAAGATATGCCCTACCAGGGTCAAGTTTTCAGTCAGGAGTATGTTATGGAAGGAGAGTGATTAAAGGGAAAAAGGCCCGAAAGCCCCCTTAAACTGCCTCCCTGGACCTTTTCCTTAGGCCATGAAGAACTCCTGTACTCAACTGCAAATAAGGTGACCCAGCAGAAACTAATGGTGCCCGGCTACACTATGCACAGGACTCTGACTTCCAAGCCTCAGCAATTTCAGGTGAGAAACTAGAAAGTCTGTGTAGTCCCAACTGATGCTAGTGCCCTGTTCCCACACCACCTCCTCCCTCCCTTCTACAAGGTCATGGTGCAAAGCAGGGCTTGAGAACCAGCTTCACATCCTCAGGTCCTCACCACCTGTTCCTTTAGGGACCACTCTGGAGAAACTCTACCTGTGGCTAGAGCTAGACTGCTCCGGGGAGGCTAGGAGGGGCTTGCTGAGCTCTAAAGGCTCTGACAGGCAGGTGCTGGGAAAACAGAGCAGAAGGTACAGGTCCCGCCTTTCCAGTGCCCTTGGGTTGTTGGCAAAGCAAGGCAAGACACAAGCAAGATCAAAGAAACTGTATGAGTGGGGACTATGGGATGATCCATGGCTTCTGGGAGAGTTCAGAAAGCCCATCCCATGCCTCACCAGTTTCCTTTGGACCCCCATCACTTGGCCTAGGCTTTCTACTGTGGCTTTGCCCATTTCCTGACCCAGGATATCCCCAGGAGGTAGAATCCACCCTTGAGTTCCCTGTTTCCTGTGTCCAGTCAGTGGCCAAGTCCTGTCACTTGACTGAACTCACTTCCCATTACCTCTTCCACTCCCTGCCCCGAGCCTCAACTGTTACTTCCTTGGACCACATGGAGAGGCATACTCCTCCTGAACCCCTGGTCAACCTGTCTATCCATCCTTTAGTCAATAGTATTCTCAAAGATGTCTAGCAGACATGCCATACACCTGTCCTAAAATCCCTAGAGTCAGCGTACACCTGGAATCCCAGCTACTTGGGATGGGGTTGGGAGCTGAGGTTGTAGGATCAGGAGTTTGAGGCCAATCTGATTTACATGGAGAGATGCTATTTTTAAAAATTAGCCACAATGTTTGGGTCCTGGTAGCTGACCAGGCCCTTGATAAACCAAACCTGAGTGTTTTGTTTGTTTGTTTTGGGTTTTCAGGACAGGGTTTCTCTGTATAGCTTCCTTGGCTGTCCTGGAACTTGCTCTATAGACCAGGCTGACCTCGAACTGACCTGAACCTCACAGAGATCTGCCTGCCACTTCCTCCCACCACTGGGATTAAAGGCATGCGCCATGTCTGCCTGGCTCCCAAGCCTCTTCTTAACATACAGCTCCTCCCAGCTGGTGTGTCCCCCTCTGTAGGTTCGGATAAAGGTGTTTGAAGCCCGACAGCTCTTGGGCAACAACATCAAGCCAGTGGTGAAGATAAACATTGCAGGCCATCAGCATATCACACGGATCAAGATAGGAAACAATCCTTTCTTCAATGAGGTAGGCTGAACGGGCCATACAGGGCAGATGAGCCAGCCAGGAGCTGGGCATTTTCCTGGAAGCAGCTGGCAAACTTTTTACCAGAGGAAAATGGAGAGGATGGAGAAAGTTCATTCAAAGACTTGGAAGCAAGAAGCAATTTTGATTTTTTCCCCCCTAAACTGTAGGTGAAGGGTGTGGTTGGGAGTGTACAATATTGATTAGGGTCCCACCACAGATACCACTGGAGAACCATGGAGGACTTAAGCAGGAGAGGTAGAGGAGGAAAGAGGTTCTAGCTAATGCAGAGAAGGGGTGGAGTGGACCAGCGGGGGAATCGAGAAGGAGCTCAAGGCTCAAATAGCCAGCCTGGAGCAGCTAAGCTGGGTTTTCAACTGCCAGGTTCTCTAGGGAACCCCTGTACTTGAGCAGAATACCCTGTGGGAGCCTAGGAATCTATGGTTCTGGAGGATTGGGAGGGTGGTCACAGGTAGAAAGTCACTGAAATGGGCACACAGTGAGGGGGGAGGGGAGGCGCTGCCGTGAGAGTAGCACTGAAGTGAGAGAAGCTGAGGCTCAGTTTACTAGGCCTTTGGATAAAGCAGAAGGAACGGTCGGCCCCAGCCCCAATTCTCTCTGCTCCAGATATTCTTCCAGAATTTTCACGAGGTTCCTGCAAAGTTCTTTGAGGAGAACATCTTAATCCAGGTAAGGAAACAAACCGGTCTCCAGATAAATGGGACTATTTTCTTGTCCTGCCTCAATCACAGAAAACATTTTGGCCCCCATGCCCAGTCTCAGAGATGGAGTCACTAGTTTCTCTGTCTCCAAAGCAGAATCGCCAATATTTTCATTCCCCTTGGTGGTCCAGATACCTCATTCATTCATTCATTCATTCATTCATTCATTCATTCAACCAGTGTTACAGATTGCCAACTGGTAGGCCCTGAGCTAAGTGCTTAGTTGAACATGGCAGCCAGATTCTCTTGTCACTAGAGTGTCATCCTCCATTCTCCATCATGAGGGAGCCAGTGACAATGATGAATGTAGGTACCCACACAGGGCTGAGGGGAACTAGGTAGCTATTCCCCTAGGGAGTTTTCATGTTCTTGGACACAAAACACAAAGGAACCAACCAGAACAATATGTACTAGACAGAGTCAATTGCAACAGCTTGCTTTGTGTTGACCCAGGATAGGTGAATTGATCTCTCTGATCAATATCTTCATCAATGAAATGGAACTAAAAATATGAACCTCACAAGGTCCCTCTGAGCACTCCATAAGAAAAAAGACATGCAAGCTCTGGCCATTAGGAAACACTCGGTGAGGTGGGTGTGGTGGCCTACACCTGGAAACCCAGAGCTTCTGAGGTGGAGGCAGAATTATTGACTACACAGTGAATTTGAGACCAGCCTGGGCTACATGAGCATGTTATTGCTCCCACAGAGGGTAGGAGTAATTAGCATTGTGAATAAAAGCCTTCTGGAAACTCCTTGCAGGTGGTGGACTCTGCAGCGTCGAGATCTAAAGCAGAGATTGGAAGATTCCAAGTAAGCCCTGGGTGAAGGAGGAGGCTGGGAAAATTCTTATGGAGACCCACTCTGGGCTCCAGGACTCGAACTAGGGGAAAGCCCTTGGC